CAAAATACAACATTCATTCAAGTCCATAGCTGTAAAAGAACCGACTCATTGTGTTCCTGAGAATACAAGTCGTTTGAAAAGAGTCAACATATAAAATGTTGGTGAGTCCATAAGCATGTTTGTATGAAAACTTTGTAGTAGTTTGTAAATCTCCAGAAAATCCAATATTTTCTTGTAAAAAAAATAGTTTGTAAGTATTGTTTCAAATCATGTATAATTGCATGTGTATTCTTGGTTTAACTTTTGTGAAAATGTGTAGAGAGTGATTCCCAGAAAATCCTGTATTTTCTGTTTTAATGAGAAATTATGGCCTTAAACCCTAAGACCGGAGTGATGTGGCTAGTTACAAAATAGTCGACACAGTGTTTGTACTTTGTAAAAAAAAATGAGTGGTATGTATATTCAACGTAAATCTTATAATAGTATTGTTATTCTCTATGTGAGTCGTTATAACCATACTAATATGATGGAGTGCCTGTCTTGACGTTCTTCAGGCGTCGGTTTTTCTAAGAAGATATTTGTCACCCTAGACTGGCCTGTCTAGCTGTAGCGAGCAGCTCAGGTGTGGGGCGTCACCCCCGTATAGATCTATACACAAACTCCCTTACTCCCTCCAGGAGACTGTGGTTATAACTACAGGACTTACGGTGTACACTAAGTGGATACCAGTGAATGAGTGTCTCACAAGAGCCTTAACGAAATTTACGCAAACATTGAGTTTCATTATTTAACGTTATAAATAATGTTACTAATGCATATTTTTTTACTACAAACCATAGGTGATAAAAATATAATCGTTTTTACCGAAGGTGTCAATATATCACATTGTTATTATTATTGTCACTAATGACGCAATTAACATAAAATTTGTCATCTAAAGCCCAATAAAAATATAATTGTCGTATAGGGCCCAATTTTTACCCAAATTATTATAAGAGGCCCATTTTTATTTAAAATATTCACAAATGACCCAATATTATCCAAAGTGTCAATAATGGCCCATTATTATCAAGAATGTCTAATATGGCCCATTTTTACTATAGTTGTCCAAAAATAGCCCATTTTTACAAAAATATTCATTTAAGGCCCATTTTTACTAAAATGCTCAAAAATGGCCCAAGTTTATTAAAAAGCCCATTTTCGGCCCCTTTTATACTAAAGTGTTCAATAAAGGCCCAAGTTTATCAAAAATGTTCAAAAATGATCCATATTTACTAAAAAGGCCCATTTTCGGCCCATTTTAGTAAAATGGTAAAAAAATTGCCCTTGGTTGTTTTTATGGCCGAAAATGGCCCCTTGTTAGTGAAAAGTTCCATATTTTATCATTTTTCATGTTCTCATGCCAAAAATCTGTTTAAAACATATTCTTGGACTAATATTTGTGATATTTACCATGCATCAAGTGAAACAAGTTTCATTTAGGAGCTAGTTTTTATTTTTAACAACATTTTATGTTAACTAAGTCCAACATCGTGGGATTTAACCAAAAATCTCGAGTTCTTGATTCTTAGCATGGATTTCACAACATTTAACACGCATATCATACAACACATGCACATACAAGCAAATATACAAAGATTTACACAAGACTTTGACTTGTATCCTCCCCCAAAAGAAAGAAAAGTTCGAAAATAGGGGTATGAAACTCACCTTGGGGGCTTTTTCGGTTTGAAGAGGAAGATGGAGGTGGTTTTCGGCCTAGAGTGCTCCCTTGAAGAGGTTTTCGAAGTTGAGAGGCTCTAGAGAAGCATATGCACGAAAATAGAGTAGTTCTTAATATAAGATGAAGTAGAACAACTTGAGTGTGATTATGAACTTACCATGTTAATGATCCTTGAAGAAACCTTCTTGAACACACACTCACAACTCACGACTTATAGAGGAATAGGATGAAGAAATTTTGAGAGTTGAGAGGAAATGAGATAGAGTGAGAGTTGAAAAATGAAATAAAGTGAGGATGGTGGTGCTGTGTTCGGCCGCATATAGAGAAATAGAGGAGAGAGATAAGTGTATAGGAATATGTTGGACAATTCCTTCATGCCTAGATGCATGGAGGGTAATGCATGGTTGTATGAGATGTAATCTTGAGGTGGCATCTTTTTTATCTAATGTATTCTTTCCCTTTTTTTTATATACATGAAGACCGATCAGACATAGGAGGGAAAAGGGATTGGGCTTCGTTTCTCATGAATGGCCGAAAACACATCAAGCCCATTAGGAGTTTTCGTGTTCTTGGGCTTGACTCAGGCCCAAGGAAGGTTTCGGCCCTATAATAGCTCCAAAATAAATGGACTAGGCCTAATAAAGATTTTTGACCCATTAGGGCCCACATATGGGTTTTGGGTTCAATAGAATTAAGTGGAAGGGTGTTTGGCCCAATACGACCCATTATGAAGTTTAATAATAAAATGCAGCCCATTAAAGCCTAAGAAGAATTTTCACGACCCAATAAGGCCCACTAAGGGTCTTATGGCCCAATACGATATTAAATAAAGGTTTTTGGCCCAACTATGGCCCAAAGGTGGGTTTTCTGCCCTAAAGAACCAAGTTCAAAGGTTATCGGCTCATTAGGGCCCAATAAGAAGGTTTTGGTCCATTAAGAGGTTTGGACCGAGAAAGCTTGGGTTAAAGCCCAAAGTTGAGGGATCATAGCTTATTGGGTTAGGTTTTTGGGCTATACGAGGAAGTTTCGACTCGAAACAAAATTTTGGATATATAAACGTGTATAGTATTAAAGTTAATTTATAGTACACATAGTGTCTCTTAGTTACACAAAGAAACTGTTTGTACATGGATAGGAAACCTAGCCCTAAAATGCTAGTTGTGACATAATATGTGTAGGATATATGTTTAAGTGTATTTTCTCGATATTGTAATGTGTATGATGTATGGAAAAAATGTGTGTATAATGAATATATATATATATATATATATATATATATATATATATATATATATATATATATATATATATATGTGTGTGTGTGTGTGTGTGGAAAAATTTGAAAAAAAGTAGGATGCAATAATGGAAAAAATGAAAAAAAAATTATGATGCTATAATGAATATGCAATATATATGTTTAAGGGTATTTGTATAATGTGTGTATTTATGTATGTAAGGTGTGTATATATGTATAAGGTCTTTTTTCGAAAATACAATTCTATAATGGAAAAAAATAGTTATGTAATTTGGGAAGTACAATGTTATAATGGAAAAAAATGAAAAATAAATAGTTACCCTTACTTCTTCAGCTTGAAAGACATCTCAGGAAAGAGCTACTTCAACTGAAGAAATTTATTTAGTAAACTACCTTTTTTCTTCTCTTTCGTCCCTTTTTTTTGTTTTTTTTTGTAATTTGGAAAGTATAATGCTATAATGGAAAAAAATGAAAAAAAATTTTGTGTATTCGTATGCAACTTGGAAAGTACAATGCTATAATGGAAAAAAATGAAAAAAAAGTTTGTGTATTTGTATGCAACTTGGAAAGTACAATGTTATAATGGAAAAAATGAAAAAAAAAATAGTTTGTACTTTACAATGTTCTAATGGAAATTTTGTACTTTGGTAATTTTTGGAAAATACAATGTTCTAATGGAAAATTGAAAAAAAAAGTACAATGCTATAATGTATATGCAATATTGTGTATGATGTATGTTTAAGTGTATTTGGAAAGTAGAATGCTATAATGATATGTTGGTTATAGTTTGATATGTTGGTATGTTGTATTTTTGTAATTTTTGGAAAGTACAAATGCTATTATGATATGTTGGTAATATATTTTTTTTCTTTGTAGTTTGAAATGCTGTAAACAATGCTAAAAGACCAGGCCTATTGTGCAACACTCGAAGACTGATTTCGCTCATTGCCGTCACGAAATGAAAACGATGGAAACGAGGGAAGTGACGAGGACGAGTAACTACTTTTTTAGGATTTCTGAAATGTTTTATTTGGGTTAGTATTAAGTGTGGTTAATGTTTCAAACTATTTTGCAAAATTAAACTTCGTAATAGTTTTTATATATGTTGTATTGTTTTTTATAATTTTATTGTTAAATAAAAAATATATACTTTAGCGGCGATGCCTTTAGCGTCGACATGTAAGTATTAGTGGCGACAGAGAGCATTCACTACTAAAAAAAAGCGCTATTTCCGAGGGACACTTTCCTCGGAAATTCCTAGGAAAACGGCGTTTCCGAGGAAAGTTGGGTATTGATAAAAAAAATGTTAAAAAAATATTACTAAGGAAATACCGAGGAAAGTTGGGTATTGATAAAGATCCTAGGAAAAGCGTAGGAAATACCGAGGGAATACCGAGGAAAGTGTAGTTAGTATAACTTTCATAGGAAAAGTGTAGGAACAATGAGTGTATTCTCTACATAAACTCGGTATGTTTTTGTTGTTACAAAAAAAAATTGTTAAAAAAAATATTACTAAGGAAATACCGAGGGAAGTTGGGTATTTAAAAATATCCTAGGAAAAGTGTAGGAACTTCCGAGGGATTTCCGAGGAAAGCGCGTTTATGGTTATTCCTAAGAATTTCCTTGGTAATTGGTAGGTAATACCGAGAAATTCATTTTCCTCGGAAATATCCGTAGGAAATCCCTCCTTTTTCTAGTAGTGATTGGCGGCGTTTCTTGTAGTGATTCCATCTTAATGCCTCAATCTTTTCCTTCTATAATTTTTGCATACAAAGGAGCACCCGATCATGAAACACATACATGTTGCTTTTCTATTTAAAAAAATACTGAAAATACATACATATTTTGATAAAGACCAACAACTGAAAACGAAAAAAAATCTCTGAACTTCAATTAATCGTACATAGTACATACTTGAGTAAAATTCAATGACAAAATGGATGACATAGGTTGTAATTATTCAAAAAGCACGCATCGCACTATATAACCACATTAACCCAAGTCACCTTAGTAAAAAAAAAATCATTCCAAAAGTATGCCCAATTCCTTTTTCCGATCAGTCATCATCTTCACCGTTTATTTTCACAAACAGATCAAGGCGATGAACACGATCACTCCAACGGACCCCACGATCATGCCACGCACATGCCCGCCAGAACCAACCGCACCGGAGGCATCAGCGCTAGGAGAACTGTCATCGGTTGCCGGAGTATCATCATCGGCGCCGGATTTCTTCTTTTTTGCAGGTGCCGGAGCCGGAGCCGGAGACTGTGGACCAAACATGCTCATGGGTAACAACACTTGGTCCACTTGATACACGGCAAGTGAACCGTCAGTGTAGAGAGTATTGGACACAGTCGTATCCATCACACCGGTTGTCACATTCACTTGGTTGCCGGAGCTGGTTATATTCAACGGAAACTTATTGCTGGCACTGTCTCCGGCCTGTGTTCTTAACGGATTACTAATAGTTTGAAACTGTGAAGTCGTGAGGTACTGCGGAAGGACATGAAACTGCAACAACTGAACTTTCTGTTGATCAGAGAGAGAATTTAGGGTTCCGGCTTTGAGGGCAGAGAAAGCGTTATCAGTTGGAGCAAACACTGTCATTCCCTGGTTGGAGTTATTGAGTTGTGTGTTGATTTGATCACCCACTTGTGTAAGTTTAAAGAGGCGAATGAGGGTGGTGAATTGGCCGGCTTTTTCAAGGATCTTGGTGATGTTGGTGGGGCCTGATGGTGCTGGCGCCGGAGCTTGAGCAACGGTGGTGGTGGTGATGATGCATTGAAGGATGAATAGCAGCAAGAGTTTGCATATGGGACATGATTGAAGATTTGTAGACATTTTTCAAGTAAGTGAAAGGTGAGATCTTGAAAATATGAGATGGAGGTGAGGGTGGTGTGTGGCATGTAGGGGTTTTATGGGAGTGGATGGATGTGATAGTTTGGTGAAATGGGGTTGTTTTGGCTGGAAATGTTACTATTTGAGTTGGTGGTACGTAACGATTTTAGTTAGATTGGCAACTTCATTTCCAGGGCATTTATCGAAATCTTCTTTTTGGAAATCATAAGTTTATAGGTCATTCTTCTTTTTAATGATAACTTTATTTTAAGTTTGTTACTGTGTTGACCGTTGAGTTTTCCATGTTGATAACTGAGACTTTACATGACCTGTTTGTGCATGCTGTGCATGTGGTGATAAAGAAACCGTGATTTATTACCATTTTGTTGAAATGAATAATAAACTAATAAACAATGTAAGCAGTGATTTAAGAATTTAAGGATACATGACATTATAGGATCAAAGGCCCATTCATATCTTTACAAGTAGTATAGCTCTAGAGGCTAATCTTTTATTCTAATTAATGGAAGTGCTTAAATATATTATTATTAGATCGTTGTATTGCATTGAATCAGGTTTTTTTAGGTCAATATGCTTCTTTAAACCATTTCATTTTTAATAATGACAAACTGGAGTTATATTATTAATAGATCGTTGTATTGCATTAAAGTGATGTTTTGACTTTTATCTCTTCAGTTTAAATGAAGGTAAATATAAATCAAAACATATTGTTTTTAAATGGATTAATCAAAACCATAAAATAATCTAATCATTTCCAAAAAAATGAAAATTAGTTTTAAGAAAGTAGTTTTATGGGTAGAATATATATTATACATAGAAAAAACAATATTCAAGAGGTTTTTAAGGGTAATGAAAGATGAGGTACAATGACAGGGTGTAGTTTGCTTAGGAAGGTAGGAAAAAACACTAGTTATCATATCAAAATGGGGTCGGGCAGGGAGGAGTGGGCTGGTGTGGGGTGCTTGCTAACTTAGACTAAAAGCTATTGTCACATTTGATCACATATAATACCCCAGTTATATTTCGGTTCATTACTTTCTTTTCACATGATATATATGAGGTTACAAATCGAAAGTATTGAATTAATTAACTGAAGGAATAGAACATCATAGTTAATTTAGCCGACATTTAATGTCCAGATGTCGTATTTTGATTATGAAGTAATGCTTGAGAAAGTTTGGATACTTCATAATTTAGGTGAATTCAACGTATATTATCAATTACCTTGTCTTAACATCGGATTTGACAATAGAAAATTCAATATACAACCATATGTCGATATGTCGTCATTACAACCAATATTAATACCGATGTTACATCAAAATAAGTACTATGTTTACAAATGAGAATAATCATCCATCTAATAAGCATTAAAAAGAGTAATGTAATGTCCTCCTATCCTGGAACATGATAAATAATTCTATAATAAAAATCTACAACCCATTTATGAAAAAAATTCATACCCTTTTATATATATATAATATATATATATATATATATATATATATATATATATATATATATATATATATATATATATATATATATATATATCAGAGTAATGTCTCAACTGAACCAAAATACATATCAGCTACACTAGTCTATACATATGCGCATAAAAAATCCATATAAAACTATTCCCTAATAAACCTTTGTCTTCCGATTAATTAAGGCAATTAAAGATTGGTAAAATCGTCTGCCTTCCCTTCCCTTCTCTCATCGATATATATAGATATATAGATATATATAGATATATAATATATATATATATATATATATATATATTATATATATATATATATATATATAGAGAGAGAGAGAGAGAGAGAGAGAGAGAGAGGTGAGTTCAATTGAGAAAATAAAAAAGGTTGAGAATGGGGGAATCATTCTCAGCCACTCATTTAATCTAAGCATAAAAAGACACGGTGGCAAACTTGTAAATATGTTAATAACCTTCAATCTCAAATACGTAACTATACAGAATTCGATAACAGTTCGTTCATCATCAAAATTTCTCCTCCAACCTTCAACAATCATCCAGATTTCTTCAACTAAATCATCATCAATGTCATCAAGTGTTAATCAATCATCGATATTCGTGGCTGGGAGGTTCGCCGTTCAAGACAGATTCGCAACCCAAATTCATCAATTTCATCGATTTGTTAAAGTTCATAACGGATTTGGAACTGGAATTTCCCAGATTCGCAAACGAAATCAGTTGGAATCGGAATTTCTTCGCTGTTCATGAAATTGGAATCGGAGTTCTGGACTCGCAGTCACAGTCGACATTGAAGGACTCAGAATCGGTACTCACAGGTTCCCAATCGGATTTTCGGAAATCAAAATCAAAATGAGAAATCGATCAGACATAGGATGTCACATTTGAAGTCGAAATCGGAAGTATATGATGATTTGGAATTGATAGCTTGATGTTTTTAACATTTTTAAAATAGTTAACTTGTATGCACTCCAACTGTTTGATGAAATGCATAAACTAAATTACCACGTTATATTCACATATGAATATGTTTTCTCACCTGAATCAGTATATGATTATTAAAAACACAAAACAAATATGCAAGTCTCTATGTCATTCATATGTGAATAACATATAAAAATTATATATATTGGTGAAAATACCTTCTAATATTCATAAGTGAATATATTCACAAGTGAATATACCTTGTAATATTCATATGTGAATATACTGTGTAATATTCATAAGTGAATATATCATCTAATATTGACAACTGAATATATTATGTAATATTCACATGTGATATACCATGTAATACTATGTAATATTCACATATGAAAATATCATTTAATATTCATAAGTGAATATACCATCTAATATTCACAAGTGAATGCATCGTCCAATATTTAAATATGAATATACTATGTTTATTATATGCTATATTCATATATGAATGATACTTAAATTGTAAAAAAAAATAATCATACTTTTTATTCATAAGTGAATAACGAATGTACTGTAATAAAACCTGATGCATTTTTATTCACTTATGAATAACGATAGCTGAAAATATAAAAAAAATAATTTTTTATTTTATCTTAAAACTATATAAATATGGATGTCTATTTGTAGAGAATAAAAAAATCATGAATTTTGGTATATTTAAAATCATTTTTCGATAAAAATAGCTTCTTAAAAATAAAAAAAAAACGAAAAAAAAAACTGTTTTTGTATATATTAAGGTAATAATTAGCATAGTTTAAGGAAATATGTTTTGTTGGAAAACACATGTCTATTTATTTCTCATTTCCGCTGGTACGACAGAGGCTTTTGCGACAAAAATAAATGAGTGGCTGAGAATGATTCCCCATTCTCAACTTTTTTTTTTCTCAATTGAACTCTCCCCTATATATATATATATATATATATATATATATATATATATATAGATATATATATATATATATATATATATATAGTTTATATCTTGAATTTTAAGAGATACAAGATACACAATTTTTTGTACAAATCAATTATGACTAACAAAATCATTAATACTTACCAAAATTTTGAATACTTGAATTAATGAAGGTTTTTAAAAAATTAATTTAGAACAAAATAACAATTTTAAAATATTAAATTCATCAATATGAGTTAATTTATATTTCTTAAACTAGATCCAGAAAATAATTAATTTACATCAAATGTATAAACATACAATATAAATATAAGTTCTCAACATAAATATTTTAATTAAAAGTGGTAATTTTTCTTATTACATAATAACTAATAACAAAATCTAATAATTATTTTCCCGTAAAAAAACTATTCGCCAAAAAAATTATTTATCGACACTGCTTTGTGCCGGCACACTTCTAGTATATATATATATATATATATATATATATATATATAATATATATATATATATATATATATATATAGAGAGAGAGAGAGAGAGAGAGAGAGAGAGAGTTAGGATCATGTATAATTATCAAATATTGTATGAATGTGAGACTCATTTTGTACCACTCATTTGATAAGAGTATAATTGAAATTTTAACGTTACATAAATATAGTAATTTAGATAATTATGGTAAAGAATTAAATTAATTAATAATCCTATAAAATAGGCATATTAGTTTACCGTCTTCGAATAACTCTCACTCTCTACCAGCGTAGTTGGAAGTGCCGCCTCATCCCAACTCCTCCTTCTGATTGTCTTCCTCCTTCAACGTCCTCCAATATCGGTGAGTTTTTTCCTCTTTTTCGTTTTCATTCATGAACATTTGCTTTGCTTAACGATCCCGAAATCATCTTTTTTGTGTTCTTTCTTAAATGGTTTTGAAATCTTTTTTTTTTCATACATGAACGATTATGATTTAATTTAATTTGTTTGTAGCCTTGAAATCAATTCATCAAAGCTTGTCCATCGATTCTTACGGAATGAATCGATGGATTTGTGCTAACTTTTTCTTTTTCTGCATGTTAATGCTTTTGATTTAGATTTTTTTTGAAAATATGTTTTGGCTTTTAATATATAGTTTCTCAAATACTTATAAGTTAGTTTAACTATGAAAAAGTGGATGAAAAAAATTGACAGTAGGAAAAAGGGAAAAAAACTTGATAATAGCTAAAAGACAAGTATTGACATGAATTTTTAAGAATGTAGAGTGTAGATGCTTGAATGTATTTTGTATTGAAAAAGATTGTATATATACATTTACTAATAAAATGTATATTTGAAAAATACAGGCATATTGTAAAATAGGTTAGGGATGTCAAGGAACAGAATATTGGTTTTGAAAAACCATCGGAGCTGAAATGGAAAATTTGTAGATAATGCAATTGATTGAGGAATAACATATTTTTGCTATTCTTTAAAAATGTTGCTAATTCAATTCTCACATATTAGTATTTGATCTTTTTTAAGAATGTGATGATATAATTGAACTTGTATCGAAGATTTTTATCCTATATTCTAAAAGAATAAGAACACATGTGT